ATACCTTAACTACCTTAAATCTATATACACACTGGGTTGTAATTGGCCACACACATACACCACTACAATACTTTTTTCCAAACAGCATCAACACATATATACAGTTCCATTTCCTCCATGATACCACCATCACTCGTGAGACACATCTCACATACACACACACTGGCCCTAGTTCGGCCAAACACACACATCTTAGTAATACCACTAGCAAGCGTACAAAACACTTCATACTCACCCACACCGACCCTAATTCTGCCACTCACACACATCTTAGTAACACACACACACTCGACAAGCATTTAAACCACACCACCAGCAACTAGTGAATATATCTCATACACACACACACCCGACAAACATTTAAACCTCACCACTAGCAACTAGTGAATATATCTTATACACACACACACCGTTCAACCACATACACACACACACCGGCACTAGCATTGACGCCTTTAATACGCTTCAAGTCATTGTCAATATCGACGCGTTATTTCGCGAACTCCACCACACACACACACTACCACCGGCACCAATATCGATGCCTCAAACACGCTTCAGGTTATCGCCAATATCAGCGCATCACCTCTCAAAATCCACCGCACACACACACTCATTTCATTTGTCACTCCTCATCTCTCTATTCTTTCCAAACTCACAAATAAATGCCTAACCAAGTCCATACTGATTTACCATCACAAATGTTGAAATTTTGAATTCATTTACCTCTTGCTTTCATCATCTTCTAGCTTAATTGTTCCTCTTCGACTTCCTCTCTCAGTCTCCCTCTCGATTCCTCAATTTCTCCTCTTCTCTCCCCTGATCTCTCTCACTTTCCCCCATTTATATTCTTCTTTTTTTCCCTTTTTTGTTTTTCTTTCCTCCCTTTTTCCCTTTTTTTTAATTTACTACCATTATATATATATATATATATACATATAGCTCTCCCCCAATCCCAGCCGTCCATCCTAACCCTAATCCCCACCATCCATCCCTCTATCCTATCAAGGCCTTACAACACTTCCCCCATTTAGCAGAAATTTGGACCCCCAAATTTTGGCATATTAGCTCATATAGTTGCGGATAGTTATTCTTCATCTCGTCCTTCCGCTCCCACATAGCCTCCTCATTATTGTGATGTTGCCATAATACTTTCACCATAGACACCACCCGACTTCTCAATTTCCTTTCTTGTCACTCCAAAATGCTAATCGATTTTTCTTCATAAGTTAAATCCTTTTTCAATGGAAGTGACTCTGTTTGTATAATGTGTCGGATTAGGTTGATACTTTCGCAACATTGAAATATGGAATACATTATAAAACCTGACATACTGCGGAGGGAGTGCTATTAGATACACCATTGTTCTCACTTTTTCAAGAATCTCAAAAGGACCTATAAATCAAGGACTCAATTTTTATTTCTTCCCAAACCTCAACAAGCCCTTCATTAGAGATATATTCAAGAACACATGATCTCCTATCTCAAAAGTCAAGTCCCTCTTTTGTTATCTACATACATTTTTTACCAATTTTGTGTCGCCTGTAAATTTTTTCTTATTGCCGCCACCGTTTTCATAGTCTTTTTTACCAAATCTGGTCCAAGTAACTGTCTCTCTCTAACCTCATCCCAACAAATGAGTGATCTACAGGGCCTACCATAAAGAGTCTCATAATGAGTCATTCCAATGTTAGCATGGTAACTATTATTATAAGTGAATTCCATTAGAGGTAGCATCTTTTCTCAATTTCCTCCAATATTGATAACACATTCTCGTAACATATCCTCCAATACTTGTATAGTTCTCTCTGCTTTTTTGTCAATCTGTGAATGAAAATCGTGCTAAAATTTAAATGGGTGCCCACAGTCTGCTATAAACTCCTCTAAATCTAGAAGTAAATT